CGGTGTCGGTGAGTGCCCACGCGCGCGCTCGTCACGCTCTCGCTCTCTCCTCACCGACCTCCTGACGTTTTTCTTCTTCCTACCTTGCCGTCCAGCCTCCTACAGAATGGTACGTGTCGCAACCGACTATAAACATCGGCACCTGCGGGCCTGTCACCTTTCTTCTAGCCGTCCCGGCGATTGCTTTCCTGCGCGATACTAGACACGCGATTTCTGTAGCTTCCAGGAGCGTTTTTGGGAACTTTGAGATAGAATGGTTACGGGTAAGCCTTGCGTGTAAGGCTTGAAGAGGACGAGAGGCAAAAGAGGAAACAAGATGGCGCCTCTGACTTTCAGAAAATTGAATTCCTGAATAGTTGGGAGAGTTCCAGATTCGATACAAGATAATTAATAAGAAGACTAAAATTTCAGACTGTGCTGCACTATTTGAATTTTCGGAATAAAACGTTTCTATCGCGCTTTTTGACGAATCTTGAAATTAGCTGTCTACGCGTGAATTGTAATTTCTGAACAGCGAATAATAATACGTTAATTAAAGGGACTTTCGTTATCCCGAAGTCCAGGTTGCCAACGTGACCGCTGGGAGCAGGGTCCCCATCGATTTCGTAGAAGCAACGCAAGAAGAATGTAGTCTTGTCATCGAGTTACTGATGTACGGTACTTCGGAGTCCTCGACTTCTTTCGCGATCTACGTCTGCCCGCGTACGCGCACCTGTCCAGCCGAGAACGTTAATTATGCGAGCAAAGAGTCACGCGCCTTTCTTCTGCCTATATTTCGCGCCCGTGAGTTGGATCATCGAACCTTCCGTTCTCAACCGTAATCGCGCGAAATACCAACACCTACGCGCGCCAGAAATGGACGAGATATTTACTTGGATACATTATAAATGTTTATTCATTACTAATCGGACATAAATTAGAAATTTTAATGAAGGTTCCGAGGCTTGAAATACGAACTTCTCTCGCGGATTTCATTTACCGTTCGAACCAGATTTCGACAAAACGCACCAGGATGTAGGACGATCGTTCCATTTCCAGTGCATTACGTCGAAAAGTGGCTCCTGAATAGCCAATCGTAAAGATATCTCCGCGAGGTGTCCCGTAACGCATGCAGCGATGCATTTGTATCGCGTTTAAATGCGCCATTTATAAGCACTCGTGTCCGTTTAAGTGGCGAGCGAACGTGGTGTAGCGATCGGACGTCGGAACGCGTTTCTCCGCGGTCGCAGAAAGCCGAGAGTGGAATGGAAATGTCAACTTTTTGATGATCGAAGTGGAATAGACTTTGAAACTAAATCTTCGTGTTAAGAGCAAGATGTTTCATCGAGACGAGGAAAACAAAGTGGCATCTGAATTTTGATATACATAAACGTGACCTACCAATGCGACTTTTCATCTACTTAATAAATAAAAGTTACAACTTGAATTGCATAGAACGAATGGATAAGTAAAAAGTGTTCGATCGAATTGAGCATCTACCAATCAAATAAAACTTATCTCTGCATCCGACTCTGTGATAACCTTGGAAAACTAACATTTGGAACACCCGGTATATTTACGTAGGGCTTTACCCACCGGTCACGAGACAACCGTGTTCGAAGGCGGTGAACGCGCACCTGTACGACTACGGTAACCTGTCAAGCTGGAAGGGCAAGAAAGGGCCAACGTAACAAAAGCTCTTGCTCGGTCCAGGACTCCTCTTTACCTGCTCCCTGTCCGCCGATATCGAGATTTAGGTACCTGAACGCTCGCCATCGGTCAATTCGTGTACGGACCATGGCCACAAATTATGCCTCCGTGCACAACTGCTAACTGAAGCGAGATACACAGAGTCCGCAAACAGTTACAACGAGTAGAAAAATATAGAGAAGGGTGATCGAGAAATATTCTGGCTTAGAAAATTTACAAGGAAAATATACGTAATATTTCGCTACTGATATCTGTAAATTAAATCAATTTTTTCTCCTAGACTCGGTATTTCTCCTTCATTCTACAAATATCCGTTTGCAATCGGACTTTTTTTCATTATCTCACTTCTATAAAGAGTTTCGCAATTTCGCGATGAAGATTTCTGTACGCCCCGATTGGCCTACCTGTCGAAGCGTCATGTCGACCGAAGCGTGGGTATATCGGCGCTAGCGTAGAATTATCGTTATTACACACCGAAGAGGCATATCTCTCAGATACGAGTTATCTCGTTGCTCGCGCGAGCAACGAGTAAACACCGTGGCTGGAGTTCTCTTTCACCGGAAGTAGTCTTCTGCCACGTTCGTTCCGGGGTGGCGGTGCCTCCGTGGCTCGACGAAAGTGCGTCGAACTTTTAGAAATTTGTGAATCGAAAAGAAGAAAGAATTTCCTTTCGAGGATTCATGTTATCGATGGTGGGAAATTATTACGCTAAGCTTGATAATTTGCACAACAGATCAAGATACATCCAAGTTTCACAATTTCCTAACGAACAACCCTTAAGATATAAAACAGAATCGAGGCTATCACTGAGTCCCGGAATAATTCCTACACCTGATTCAAACTTATATATATTTCTAGATCAAGATACTACGAGACCCTTATCGCTAAATATATGTACCGTACCAATCAAGCATTCCGATATAAACTTTTTCGCCTACGTGAGACTGCATGTCGCAACTATATCCAAGGTGGAATTGGAAATCGAGCAAAGAAAACTCGCGGCGAATTTACATTCACGGTCATAACGAACCGGGGCTCGGGACGATTTCACAGGATCGTTGTTCCGTCCGATTTACCGCCAGCATAAAAAGAGGATGCCTGACTTAGTTTACAGGGGGGAGACGAGATTTAATGAAGGGATAAAAGGTCGGCTGGTGCAAGGCCCTTTTGGGATTGGAGAACGGGGCGACGCGACGGGGCAGAAGGCTGACTCGAAAAATCCTACGGAGGAAACGCCGAGTTAAAATAAGCCTCACTGCTCGCGCCGCGGGAGAAAAACGAGAGAGCGAACCGCGTCGTCTTCGTGAGATACCGCCCAAAATACGCTGATGCCTGATAGAAGGCGGACCTGAGAGCGCTGGGAATTTATACCGCGCGATGCTAGCTCGTACAAACAAGCTGCAAACGGATGAAAAAGGGAAACCGATATCCGTTGTAGGTGTGAATCACCGCGACCAGCGTAAACGACGTTGTGAAAATAAACCGATGGACGCGGTCTATTTTGAATCCACTTAAGGGATAACGCCATCTTGGAGATGGAAAGCGATGGTGGTTCTTCGGGAATTAATCGCACTGAAGCTGCGTGGTCGAAGAGGTTAAGCTTATGGTAGATTAATGCGCGTGGTTTGCAGAGGATAACTGTATTTTCGGTTTTTCATGCGAGTTGGTTTCTGGTCGAAATGGCGGCCGAGTTTAGGTTGGCGTTTTTCGCTATATATTAGAGAAGAAACGTTATGGAGATTCCTTGGGAATTAATCGCGGAGAAACTACGTGACCGAAAAAATTGGTGCTAACGGTACTTGAATATACACTGTTTGTAGAGTACAAACATATTTTTGTTTTTGTTATAGACGATCTATATTAAAAATAGCGGCGTAGTGTAAATGGGTATTTTCTATCCTCCTTAGATCTGATTATAAATTTGAGAAACAACGTTCTAGTGGCATGAATGCAAAAAAAGGTTATCTATCGTTACTCAAAGTTTTTTTTAATGATCAAGGTAACCCATCGAGAGTCACCATGGGAATTCCTATCGTCCTGCGCAATCGTGGGCGACACCAGTTCACCTCTGACCTGATGTATCGCTTACGACCGGAAATAAACTGCTAGCAATAAACAGTCGGCTATCATCGAGGTCGGGTCGTCGGTGAATTTCACGGACAATTTGCAAAACAATTACTCGGTATCTTTTTAGGACAGCTGCAGCAAGGCTACTACGTGACCTGCGATATCCTCGAGTCTATTCGACCGTGCACGCTATACGTGGGCTACCGTTCGCTCAATTGATCGAAATTGGCTAATTCGCCGGGGCTGGAACTATCCTGCTCCCGACGTGGTTAATTCGTCCGTGTATTGGCCGATAGTAGCTCTCGTTTTAGTCTGGCTTGTTAATATCTTCAGTCTACCAGGGCTGAACCGCCATATCGATGAATTTTATAGTGAGCTTCTCTGATAGTCGATACTAACGACCTTCTAATTAATTCATATTCTCGAATATCTAAGACCTTGTAGAAGTCTTAGACAAATAGTGGCTATCGTTACTAAGTAAACTTAAAACTCTAAAATCGGATTCATGTAATCGAGGGTACTATTAGCTAGAATAGGCTAAGAACTGGTCCAGGCGAAGCAGGAGGTCCACGAGATGGTATTATTCAGAGAACCAGTCGTTCTCCAGTGGCGATTTACCAACGGAATCAGACACCGGCGCGGTTACGCTTATCTACGACGAAAGTAGCCGGTACGGTGTTCGTTTTACGTGCGGCGAGCCATAGGGAATCGGCTGTCTCACGTGTCTCCCTTCGCGAGCCTGTGGGAGCCCCTTTAGCATATAAAGGAGTCGCTGGCCGCATCTCCGTCGTCATAGCGAAAACTAGTTCGACCGTCCAGTTTTTCTACTCTCTGTCCACGCTTCGCGTTCTGGTGGGAGACGACACATCCCGAACAGTCGCGTTTGCTGCCAGCGAAACGCTAATAATCCCGCAACTTGTTGCTGCCACGACGCGCCGAACTCCCCTCGACTTCCCCAAGCGATTTTTACCTGGTATTTTGAAAGGCCAGAACCACGATTCGAGGACCTCTAGCTAAGAATCCGACACCCGTTGCTTAAGTTTCGTATTCGGTTCCCACCGCAATCCACCCGCGCGATATCGAAATATCACGTGACAATTCGCTTATCACGTGTCTCAAATTAATCGAGAGGTATCGTTCGAACGTTCGATTCACGCGCGCCACCTAGGACCGCTCTCATTGGCGCGAAAAAAAAAATGAGCGGAAACCGCGAAAATATTCAAAGGAGCGTTCAAAAGACTCACCGAGATCCTCGACCAGGCGCAGCATGACACCGCCGATGTGCAGCTCTCCTTTTACTCGCAAGCTTCTCTCCGTTTGAAGATCGGTCACGTACACGCGCAGCACCCAGCTGCCGTCCACCTCGTGACCGTCGGAGTACATGTTTCCTGGTCCAACGATGCGAAAAGACGAGAGGAAAATAAAAGGTACCGCGTTCGTTGGTTCGCGTGCGTACACTTTCCAAGTTCCCAGACACTCAAACTCGTGACGGAAAAAAGTTCCGATTCTATGGCGCGGAAATCATGATTCCGCGGCACTCGAGACACCGTCGCGAACGCACACGCGATATTAATCGGCGCTCGCGATAAGAAACGGAATCGTGTCGCGGTATCGAATGGTCTCGAGAGGACTCGACTTGCGATACACTAGCCGACTCGACCCGAACCGAACTCGTGTATCGAATACTGTGCACGAACGCTTCGGTCGTCAACCGCAAGCTTGTTCCTCGACTGGTGTCGGCCGCGGACTCACGGCTCGGCTGCGCTCTCTTACCGAGAATAGAACTATTTACAAGTGACGCGCGTTTGGAATGCGCGCGCAGGTCTCCCTCCCTTCGTCCCTGGCTCCCCTTCCGCATCATCGCCTTTCGAGCCACTAACCCCTCCCTTCCCCCGCGACGCCGGCGCACTCAACCCGTCACACAACTCGGTTTCCTTTCCCTCTGCGTCTGCCGACGCTACTCCTATATACTTGACGTGTTGGGCAAATTTTATACAAAACGTCGTTCGTTTGCAATAATCTCGATGTTATTCGATTCCCAGTTATGTTACCGTACCATGAACTTTTCGATTCGAATATATTATTCGAGTAAAGTACCTCTCGTTATCGAACGACCGTTCGCCTACATGGATCAGTTCCGGTATCTTGCAAAAATATGTTCACCTTGTGCTTTGATAACGAATACAGAATCATTTATCGTTTTATCGCTATTTTCTGTCGTCAAATATTAATTTTTTCGTCATTTCGACAGCGAACGGTGACACGGATTCGTGCCGCTCGAAAAATTCTTCAAATATCGTTTCCCTTTCTTGAAGCGGTGAATGATGTTATTCAAACTTTGCGATACTTGTCAATCCTGAAACAAACAAAATTGAAATAAAGTTTATATAGTAACAAATTGGAGTATTATTAGTCTGAAAAAGGAATAGGTGAGTTATATGTCTCAGTTCAATATGTATGTATTAAACTTAGGGTAAGAATGTATCTGAAATAAAAAATGAATTACAAATTCAATAAATAGTAACTCCTAATTTATTTTTTACCGCGCCGCTGGAATTGTAGTATTCGTATCTCCACCTAACGATCACAACCCGAACTATTCTTCTACTTCAACTCGAAGGATAAGTACCCTACTTAATAAACAATTACGAAACTGCATTATCTGCAACAGTACCTCTGTATGTTTCGAGCATTTGATCATAGTGGCGCTAGTGAACGGATAACAACTATTTTATTGACTGCTAGTGCAGCCGCATAAGGTAGACATATATACAAATTCTTATTCGATAAGTGATGGAATCACAATATCAATGTAATTTTCAAAAGCTAGAATTCTAACTGAAATTTACACGGAGCATTGACGGAGGAGTTTCGTGAAATATCCTTGTCCAAACGAACAAAAACGTAAGGTTTGGTTCCAAACATTTTTTTTTTCTATAATGATAGTAAGTGATTTGAGGTTAGAATCAGTAAAATTATATTCATTTTATATTGGCTGCGTGTGTTTCTTTACAAAGGTCGGACTTGCACGAATATTTTGGTGAAATTTGGTGCAATGATTGTCCGTCTTAAAAGATTTGTTTTACCACTCTGCAAGTTGGATAAACTTGGAAAAATTCAGAAACAGTATGTTAGATACGGTTCTTTGCAGTCTTCGGCTAAAGTGTTAGAGCATCTAAAAACTAAGAGTTTATTGCGAATTAGAGGAAAAGAGACTTCAGATTTTCTACAAGGATTGATTACGAATGATATGAAGCACTTAAACGAAGGAGCAGCTAATTTGTATGCACTGTTTCTAAATATTAAGGGTAGAGTGTTGTACGATGTTATCGTGTATAAGAGTCAGGAAGACGATGTGTATTACATTGAATGCGATTCAGAAGCCGTAGATTCGTTGCAAAAACATTTAAAAATGTATCGTATTAGGAAAAAAATAGATATAGACACCTTAGGAGACAGTATGAATGTTTGGGTATTCTTTGATTCTACACAATATTCTGGTGATAAAAATGCTGATAGTGGAGAACAAAAACTTGAAGGTTTTATATTTCCATGTGGTAGTCTTAATAATAAATCGAGAAAAGTGATAAATAATATTATGATGTACGAAGATCCTAGACTCTCGAACTTAGGTATCAGAATCCTAGCAGAATCAAACATTGAAAGTAATGAAATAAGAAAACATCTGAATTCTGATGTGCTTGTTTCTAATAGTATACTAAGTTATAAAACATTTCGTTATAAACTCGGAGTTCCCGAAGGTGTTGAAGATTTACCACCAGGAAAACCCTTACCTCTAGAAGTTAATTGTGATTATTTACACGGAATTAGTTTTCATAAAGGTTGTTATATTGGTCAAGAACTTACTGCGCGTACTTATCACACTGGTGTCGTAAGAAAACGTTTAATGCCATTATTATTTGAAGAGCTTCCTACAAAATCGTTTTCGTACGACGAAAAAATTGTCGATGAATCTGGCAATGCAGTAGGTAAATTTAGGGGAAATGAAAAAGAATACGGATTAGCTTTAATGCGAATCGCGGAAACCTTGAAAGCAAAATCTCTTACTATATCGGATCATAAACTAAATGTATCGAAGCCCTTATGGTGGCCGCAAGATTTGCAACAACAAAGTGTATCCGCTAATAAAAAATAATGCATATAAATGAGATACTGTTTAGTTTATATAGTTCTCCGTTTCTACATAGAAAATTGTAATATGAGAATATAAAATAAATTTATTACGCAAAGAAATTATAGAGTATTTCTCTTCCTTGTACTTTGTAGGATGGAATCTATAGCTAGTACATCGACCATGGATCAACCTGGTATCAGTGATTATAAGCATGGCGCCACTTCAACAAATCGAGAGTCAAAGGAAACTACAGCGGGAGTCTTTACGTGTACCTATTGTTTATTAGAAGAACGATTCGATTTCAAAGGTGCCAAACCACCGTTTGCACGGCAAATAACTTATTCGGAAGAATGTTACGTTATGAAAGATCCTTTTAGTATACCAAACAGGGGAGAAGTGTTAGTGCTCGGTGGTGACTGTAATTTTTGTAATAAACCTGTATGTCTAGGATGCAGTATATATTTCGGAAAACGGTTTTGTTTAAAATGTGCGTCAAGCAATATAAACAATTTACCGTCTCAATTGCATCAAAAAATAAGAAACCTAATAAAAACTATTGATTCATAAAAATAGTATTTTATTAGATATCAAATACTTGCTTCCACTTTCACAGCTCACACTTAAGGAATACACATAGGTAAAAGTATTATAAACATTATATCACCCATTTAAATCACTCAATTACTATCATTTCCTTCTTTCTTATATCAATCAGAACAGACTGTTACCTTTCATCACTGTCGTACAAATAAAAATAAAACTATAAGAACGTCATAAATCGAGAATATATATTTTTACCATGTCGTTTAATTTGTTGGTTTCTTAGGTTTGGCAGCAAGTTTCTCTGCCAAAATTTTCTTTTTTTTCTCTAATTTATTCGGTCTTTTCTTTTTTTCTCCATCAGCTTTTTGACCTTGAAATGTCTTTGATTGTTGTGGACTAGTTTGTTTTCCACCAAGTTTCTGTTGTTTTTCAGTTATTCTTTTCAAAGCACTTTGTTTGTTCTGTCTCTGAAAAAAGTCCATAATAGTTTAACATGTTTCACATTTTTTTTTTAAATTAAAATAAATAATAATACTTACCGATTTGCTCATTTCTGGACTGTGTTTTTGTTTTTTACTTGGACCTCTGTTTCCATCTTCTACAGAAAGTGATCTTTTTCCATGCTTATCTTTGCCTTTTCTGTTTTGTTCATTAGATGGTTTTACTCTGAGCTCTCGATTTGCAAGTTTTGTACCATTTAATTCTAAAGCTAATGCAACAGAATCTTCAGTTTTAAAATTAATGTATCCAAATCCTTTGCCTATTCCAGTCTTATTATCTCTGACTACACGCACAGATACTATTTCACCACAATTTTTAAAATGCTTTCTGAATGTATTATCATCAACATCTGGAAAACATAACACATTTTGGAACCTATACATGTATAATTCTTATGTAACTACAGACATTATACTTACTAAATGGTAAATTTCCTACAAATACAGATTTCTTTTGATCAGGTTTTTCTTCTGCACTGAGAGCTGAATCTACTCTTATATAATTTCCTAAAAATACTTCACCATTCAAAGATAAAGCTTCTTTAGCAGATTCTTTTGAATGAAACTTAATATATGCATAAACTGACTTTAATCTTGGATGTATATCTTTAGTTATGGCTGCAACTTTTTTAGGTATATTTAAAGATTTTGCCACTACACCTCTTAAACGAATAGAGTCAATATCACCAAATTTTTTGAATTGTTTTTTCAATTGTTTCTTTGTTACTTCTTTTGGAAGATTACCAACAAAAATAGTATTTTCATCTCCTTTTATTTCTTCTAAATAATCATTCATCTTTTCTTTATTTTTCTTATTTTGCTGAGGACTGTCAAGTGTACTATTTATTTCCTCCTCTACTTCTTCCTCATCCTCATCATCATCATCATCCTCCTCCTCATCATCATCATCTTCATCTTCATCCTCTTCCTCCTCAGTAGATTCTTCATCACTTTCTCTTGTTTCAACAAAATCTTCATCTTCATCATCATCAGCAAGACTATTCCCTAGAAGAGCTTTTAAACCAAGAGTTGATTCTTCACCCTCCTCTTCATCTTCGTCATCTGATTCCTCCTCCTCCTCCTCCTCAACTTCTTCGCTATCAATGTCAGAATTTTCATCATCCTCTTCCTCTTCCTTACCATCACTTGTAACATCTGATTTGCCTGAACTACTCTTAACAGATTTATTATTATCATTGAGTGATTTTAATCCTTTAAACATTTTCACTCCCTTATTTTCTTTGAGCTCCTCCTCATCTTCTTCATAATCTTCATCGTCTTCATCAGTATCATCAGCTAAACTGGTTCCAAGAATATTTGTTACAGTTTTCTCTTCTTCGCTGTCATCTTCATCAGACTCTTCTTCATCTTCATTGTCACTGCTTTCTTCCATAAAGCTTTGTTCTGGTAGTACAACACCCTCGTTAATATCTTCATCGGATTCAGACTCATCTTCTTCACCTTCTTCCACATTTTTTTTATGCAATTCTTCCTTCGGATTGCGTTGCTTTTTGTCACCTTTTGGAGAATTCTTCTTCTTTGTTTCTTTGTTTTTTTCTGGTGTTTTCTGTTTATCGTTATTTTGTGTTTTTGATCCATTAATCAGGGCAACTTTGCCTGTCGAAGTGTTTTTAAATTTTTGATTCTTTTTCTTCTGAACAAATCCGCCTTTCGGCGTATGTAGAAGATCTTTTGTCGTTCCATTTTTACTTTTTTCTACTACTGTTTTAACCATCTTTACAACTGTATCTTTCACTTTGTAGAAATGTTACTCTATCGTGAATAAAAGAAGGAATTAACGCTACGTGAATAGATTAATTTCAAGAGGTTATCGAACAATTCAAATTTCGTGATGTCATGAGGTTATTATTCCACGTGCGATACGCGATACAGCGGGCAAATCGAAGGTAGATTACAATAGTAAACGAAAAAAGTGATATTTTTCGATCAATCTAGCATAATATATTCGAATTCTACGTTAAAGTAATTAAGTTACTTACCACAAGCTTCTGTGTGCAAACCAAACCGTCAAGATCAAGTACACCTTTTAAAATGCCGGCTTAACCTGACAAACACGAGACCAACACAAGTTTAACCGCCAACAGGAAGAACGAAATCCGCCATAACTGTTTTTGCCTTTGTTCGAATATATAGTAACAAACTAAATTGTCTACCCTACGAATATCCCTATGTCTAATTTTCCTATAAAAGAAACCATTAAAATTTTAATTTTCTATTGAAGTTCAAAGGATTGTAAAAGAATTGTATTAACATTTAATTTAAGTTTTGTATGACAATTTGTAACAATAAACATGAAAAATATGTCAGCTGTAGATAAGGAGTTTGGTACGAAAGGAGAGGTTATGTTTACAATGTGTTCCTTATAAAGAGTTTTGAAATTTCAGTTGAACTATCGTAAACTATTTTGTAAGCAACACGTTAATCACTAAAAATATTTTAGGTAATTATAATGATAACTAAAACAAGTGAATGTATTATAGTATTAATATGGTAATTAATTTCTTTAATCTTGCAGATTTTATTTACACCTTTGCACAATGGATGGAGTAGGATTGTATAATAGATTTGTCCAATCGCATCGACCTCAACTGGAATCATCTGGAGTGCCAAGTATATTTTGGGAAGCTCTATTTAAAAAACTACAGTATCAAATATTTGATTCCGGTCTTATGTTTCAATTGATAAGAATTAATTATGAAGATGCTCCTAGGGATCCAAAGGATCCAGTTTGGAAACTTTTTGTTATTTCTGAAAGCGGTATCTCTGCTAGTGATCCAAATAACATTTTTCTGGTAGACCATGCATGGACTTACGACACAGCTAATGCTAGACAGAATTTAGCGAGTATACCAGGACTCTTGGATCGTATGTGTATCTTAATGAGTTACGAGTTTGAGACTGATGAAGAATGTGATAAAATAGAATTTGTATTAAAAGAGATGTGGAGGTATAATCAGTCGTTTTCTTTAAGTCGCGGAGAGATAGAAGATAGAATGCCAATTTGGTACATCATGGACGAAGTAGGATGCGCGGTAAATCATAGCGACGATCCCAACTTCAGAATGGTGCCATTCTTATACATACCAGAAGGTGTTAGCTACACGTTAATGTTTCCTATACGCGACGTCGAGTGCGAGGAGGAAGTTAGAAGAGACTTTATCGAAGGTCTAACAAACGATGAGAAAACCCGACGAGCTTTGCGTATACCATGGGTAGATGCATCTTTTCTTGGAGAAAGCTTTGTACAGACAGAGCCAAACGAAGACTATTTCTTGACGGGTCACATTTCTGAAACCCTACCAGAGGACATAACTCCAGAAGTACTCCAAAGGAATAAAGACAGAAAATTAAAAGTTTACTCACAGTACACATACGTAAACGATTATTTGACCGACCCTGCATTTGAGATTGTATACAATGAAAGAGAAGCAGACATCTTATGGTACACTGACCACTTTAAGCAGTACAAAGAATTGAGCATTCGCTCGCCACACGTTTTCGTGAACCAGTTCCCATTCGAAAATGTTCTAACTATAAAAGATTTACTATGTATCGTGTGCAGAAGAAAAGCAGGAGAAAATACACATGATCCGGTCACACTCGAAACTTATCCGGAATGGTTACCAACTACTTACAATTTACGCACAGAGCTGGTGCAATTCGTCGCCTATTTCGAACACAGAAAATCGCGGGGATTAGACAATCATTGGATCTGCAAGCCTTGGAACCTCGCCAGGGGATTGGACACTCACATCACGAATAATCTACACCACATTCTACGTTTGCCCGGTACAGGACCTAAAATCGCGCAGAAGTATATCTCTGATCCCGTCCTGTTTAAGAGACCAGAAATTGGTAACGTTAAATTCGACATACGCTATGTGGTAATGCTGAAGTCGGTGAAGCCCCTGAGGGCGTTCGCCTACAAAAACTTCTTCCTAAGATTCGCAAACAAGGAGTTCGCTTTAAATAATTTCGACCTCTACGAACAACATTTCACCGTCATGAATTATTCAGAGGACACGCCACTTTTTCACCTCAAGTGCGCAGACTTCATCTTGGAATGGAGGAGACGGTACCCGGACTATCCCTGGAGCGACTACATAGAGCCAAAAATCCTGGACATGTTTCAACAAGTATTCGAGGCAGCAGTTGCCGAGAAACCACCGAAAGGAATCGCGGAAAGTCCGCAAAGTCGGGCCGTGTACGCGGTCGACTTGATGCTAGAATGGAGGGAGAATGAAATGCAGCCTATGCTGTTGGAATTGAATTTCTCACCAGATTGTAAAAGGGCCTGCGAGTACTACCCCGATTTCTACAACGACGTCTTCAGATGTCTCTTCCTGGACGATGAGAATCCGGAAATGTTTCACGATCTCAGCCCTTGAGGCAATTGAACGCGATGTTGGATGACGAGAACGGTTGCCAGTTGTGATTTAATGTAAAGATTGCATGTAAACAAATTATGAGATTGTATTATAAATAGAACAAATTTTTTTTTTATAAATTTTGTTTACGGATGTTATGTTTCTTTCGAAAATATAAAGAATTTATTGCAAGAACTCTTCTGTGTGCTTATTGGATTCCTAGATAGTAACTTCAGGGTTGACTCAAATTCGAGTTACCCTCGCAGAAGTGGTTTCATCGCCCTTTGTAAGTGGCTGGATGATCCATAAATATCGAGAGGCTATTAACGAGCGTTCCCATGGACAGCCTTCTCGCCGAAATGCATTTATTTATTCAAAACCGTCCCAGCATTTCGTATGCGGTAATGAGCAGAAGTAGCTGCAGTAAATCTGCATGCGCGAACGTTAAGGGTACGTTTGCTCCTTAAATAATTCGCGCTTTCCATAACTTGACGCTACAATGGGAAGACTGCCGTGCTACCTAATGGAATAATAAACGAGGGAGCAATTGGAACAGTTTCATGACGGCGGGCCACTTCGGCCACCGCATAATGTCCGTTTCTAATGCACGACCGTATGCTTAATGCAAAAAGAAGCGCGACGATGCGAATCTCGATACGGTGGCGGCTCCATAGCTCGAAATAAAAGGAAAACTATGGCTAGGATAATACGTGAAACGTTTGTAAAGAGAGTAAGGAAGATTCCACGGTACCAATTTTTTTCTGGCACTATATCATTCCCACCTAGAGGATTCCGATAAATTTGCAATAAAGATTCGCTGCGGGGAGAAATATACGCCTGGCTTCCTCTCTTCGTTTTATGTAATCGCTATCGGTACACCGAGATAATGGTACTTGGTAAATTTAAGAGCGGTAAATTGTTTTAGGATGCAAAATTAATTGGGGTAATATCTATTCTAAGACTCGTTTTATATGCCACGTTAAATATTGGGTTTTTTTTCTGGTCGTATTTTACTAATACTTGTTTATCGTAGATTGGTTCTTGTTTTGCATGGATATCCACCATTGCTGGACTGAAAAGCTTTTGTTATCGAAGAGATAGACACATGAAGCTCCTCCTCAGTCTACAATGAATTTTGTTTCAAAATTTATAGTTTAATAGTTCAATTTTTCTATTACTGCGTACCGATTTTTGAGGGAAAATTGTAATTGCAACGGAGGGCGATTATCGGAGATTCGAAGCATGGGCTTCGATAGCTTTTCACGCGTGAAATTTGCAGTATTGGTTGATGCTGTCGCAACGGCATAATCAACTGCGACGATTGTTTCTTTGCCCCGTTCTGTAACGTCCCCGGATCGAATCACGCGCGTATGCTGACAATCGTTTGCAACAACAATGACCCAGGACCATCGTATTTTGTTAATTATCGTTGGGTTCGTTATTCGTTTATACCGCAATGAGTTCCACGCCGCGCCGGTCGGTTCTCATTTGAAAAAGCTTTGTCGTCGAACTTCCCAGCAGAGAGCTCGACCGCATGCAATTACGCGAACGTATCGACGCTCGAGGGCAACGAATTTAACGCTGTTTCACGCTCGGATAACGGCCAACTACTTTACTTACGGCGTTACGTTTGTTACGATTCAAAGGATATTAAATTCTAATTATCTCATAAAGAAAATACGATATCAGGCGGAAAATCCGTGTAATACGCGTCCGCTGAAGGCGTATCGTGGCTCAATCGGACGTGTACAGTATGCCCTGGCTGAAACGAGACACCATAGTTGTCTTTTTTGCAATAATAAACGACGAGGAACTCTTTTACGAGGGAAGGCGAGGGACGAAGAACGAAACTGTTTTACGGCGACTGGGAAAACCGAGGCTCTCCTCTCGTTTCGGTAAGTTCCATACTTACTCTTCAAAATTAGATATCGAGAGGACGTTCTCATGCGACAAATAGAATTCAATTATTCAACTCCGTATGACACCGTTTAAATTATGCGATATTGATCCGAGCCAATTTTCGCTAGATTCAATATTCACGCGATGCCGTCGAAGTGGTGCTCTGCAACCTTTGTAAGCGAAGACACGGCGATGCATCTGATGAATAATATCTAAGGGTAGATAGTTCAGAGCTGTATTGGTTCTCTGCATGGTCCTCTTCGATGGAAGACTTCGTGCGCCTAAAAATAATGAAGTATTAGTTGGAGATTATTATGTAGTAAGTAGCACTTAACTTAAACACGAGGATTCCTCTTGTTTCTCTTGAATCACCCTTTATAAGTGAATCCCAATTTGTTTTTTTCTGTGTTTTAATAGCCTCGAGAACCTGGTGCGTCAATCGAAACGAGCTCGACCTGCAACAAGAAAGGTTCGTGTTGGAGCTACGGTCCTCGTTTTCAAGAGAAAACGAGTCGCCTATTTTTCTCCCCGCAGCCACCCCCGCGTCTATGAGCGGGTGCGTGCGGCTCCAGGTAGACGGCCTCGTTCCACCCTGCCGTGCATTCCCGAATGTTCCGTCCACGGGAGCTTCTGCACGCTGCCATTCCGCCCCCGCGAATCACGTATCGCTCAGACTGGAAATGTAGTCGCTCACCTTCGCCCAGCGCGACTCCTGGGAGGCTCCTGCGACGGCGACGTCGCTGGTAATCACGGCAATTAAGCAAATGAGTTCCGCGTATAGGGACGTCAATAACGAGGGCGTCGCAGCCCTCGAGACAAACACAGTCGTTCCGCGACACTCGCAACCCCCAACCCCTGGGTTGTGTCTCGTCGACGTTCTTTTATTCTTTTTTTACAGTTCGATATGGATATCTGATGAAGTTGGAGTCTAGGTATGTGCTTCAATTGGTCGTGGAATATTGGTGCTAATTTAGTAGAAAACGAATCTTTCCCATTTACTGTGATTGTGTAAAATAATGAAATCAGTAATTAACGTCGAGGAATGCCTTAAGAAAATTAAGAATTGACCGCAACAAGGCGGTACACGCATTTACTCTAACAAAACTATGTCAATATTAAACAGTAATATTTCCAGCAGCAACGTTACCAGTATTCGTTTGTGTGCCCCTAGGAGCGGCGACTCGTCCGACGCCGTCGGCCTAGTGGTTGCTACCCACACGACGCCCTTCCGCGCTGGAGATTGATATCGAGAAGTTGTAATAGCCATTGCGTTGGCCGTTTCATTTCTACCCAGGGCCTATTATTTTTCTCGTTGCGAGCGTCGATTCCCGCCAGCAATTTCGTGTTTCTTTTGCCGCTCAGCTACGCGGGTAATTTGGTAATTTCGTTTCTCGCCCGTCCCGGAAAGAACTTGCTAGCGCGCCACGACGGGTAATTATTCGAGAACCTTCGTTCGAAGGCTTCCGGTCGTCGAGAGAGAGAAAACAACGAACAGATGTTTTAATCGTCCCGCGCGAAGAACGCGAGCAATTTTCCATTTACCTAATGCCTCTTTTCGAGTCGCATTTGGCGCGACCGCCACTTCTAAAATGGCGAACCGCAAAATTAGTCCGGGCTCGTCCGAAACCGTGCACCGTTCCTAAGGCACTTACTCGCTTCACTTTTAACAACAAAAATTATTTTCTTTGTGCTGAAACATTTCTTTAGAAGCATGGAAAAATGAAACGTACTTCTTTAGGTGTAACTTGAGTTTTTCTGAATCGATGGCTTCAGTACAAGCTGGAGTACTGGATTGCTGAGAGTCTGTTTAAGAGTCACGAGGTCATCCCTATTACCTCTTGGAACCTTGAAGCCTCGAGAAGCTTTGGAACTCCCCAGATACCGAAAATATATGCATAAATTCAGACTACATTAATTTAGCGAGTAACTGTACATACTTTTACTTACAAAATATCATCTGCCGTCCGAAAGAACATTAAAAGCGGCTTCATTATCTCGCGACCACCTCGACTAGAGTCATTTCTTTGCGGGCAGTGGTCCCAGCGGTTAAGGGGTACGGGGGTTGTACACTTCACTGCGTTTCATGCGCCTCGAGCACCTCCAATAGCACCGAGTCGCGTTCGTCGACGCACGACCCCGCTGAAATCCTCGTTTATTGTTAATTAATGCGCTTAATTGTTATTTCATGCGGAGTAAGTATGATGTATGCAGCCTATTACGAGCAAGTTTGTCTCGAGGAAATTGCGGCACTACCCCGTGTAAAAAGTATCCCTCTTTGTACGCTAAAACTCGTCGGGGAGTGCTCGCCGCAAGAGATGACTTGTTTTTTATCGCGAAGAACATTCGCTGCGCGTTCGTATCGTTTTTTCGACGATGTAAATTTTCTTGCGGTCCGAGTCACGGAGAAACGACGTAAACGAGACCTAGGCTGCGGTAATTTCCACTCGCAGGGATCGTTTTGATATTCAGCTGGCCTGAAAAACAAAAGAAATGCGTTAGAATGAGAGAATAACTGTAGCTTTTATTCTTGTTAGAATATAAGTAGAAGACAAGTTTTATTTCTTTCTTTATGTGCGAGCACGTAATCTTTTCTTTATTTCTCCTCGTCCACGACGATATTGAACAATTCTAACTAGTTCGATGGCGATCGGAGTGAATGGAGGTCTAAAATAAGAATTTCTGTGACAGAAACTGTGTGTCTGAAACATTGAATACGCGTCGAGACGCTGCTCCCATCATCTCGGTATCATTCGAAGCGAAGGGACGTCGATCGTGCGGCGATCCCGTGAATTTTTAAAAAAGGAAAGAACGGAGGGAGCTGCGTGGCATCCAGCCACAGAATATAAAACGAGCGTCGCGGCGTACCTCGTGGACATCGTGTCCGACTACTCGACCCTGCATAAATTTTCGTCAGACCAATTTCTTCCGACTGCTCTTTCCTGGGAGGACGGTTCCCTGAAAGTTTCGGTGCCTTATTTCGCGTCGTCTAGGTCTCCCCGAGGTTTCTCCACCATGTCTTGTCCACGGGCAAGATGAGAATGCAAATTTGCTAAGCTGCAGTTTAAATTCAGTGTCGAATCCTCGATTATGCGAGGCGAGCAAAGAAACTAGGGGCTTGGTGAAGCAAAATAGAATCAAATTGGACTTTATTGAGGTAGAATCGCAATTTCATAGCTGAACCATTTGAGAGACTTTACAATTCATTCGTAGTTTCTATCTAAAAGAAAAATATGATAAGATGTGTAATTAAACTAACCCGAGTTTACTATATATCCACTAATTTTCGTTTTGGCCCAC